TTCTCCCCTCACAAATGGTTCAGGGTCAGGAACCAAATAATTTCATCTTATTATTATTGATGTGTGGTGTATATTGATTAACACCATAACGCATAAAGATGGATTCTCAAAATTGAGGAAACAAGTTAGTTTTTCTAACATGAGGGGGAGACATGATAAACAATTGAGAAAAAGTTACATGGAACGGATTATCATTTGTATATATAGATCCTCAAATATCATAATATGAACTTGAAGTTCATAAAAAGATAATTCGTTTGCAATATATTGCAAAGCATGCCATACGCATTTACTGACCCAAAAACGTAACTATATTCTCATTGCAAATGCTCATATTAAGTCCAAGCTGGACAAAGTCTATGGTACGCTTAAAGCATATAGACAAATCGGTTTCAAATAACTTCTTGATAAAGAAGATGAGCAAATGATCATAATAAGGAGGCAAGTGATCTAGAAGATCACATGACATAATACTTCATAAATTCTCGTGAGAGATTCAAGTACCTGAATATATGAATGAAGAGATCTTTATGTTATGTCTTTATGAAAAATAAGGAGATTGGAACCAATATAAATTGTTCGACGTCGACATCTATGATAGCGCTAAGTATAGATGAGGATCTTAAGTCTGTCGAATACAGACACAAAAATATTAGCCAAATGGAAGAGAAACAATTCAAGTAGAATTGGTTTCATATGAAAGACATATAGTTTTATCTATGTTGTTCTAACACTCGAAAGTATAAAGTCAATAGGTGTGTGCAATCACTTTCATGTATTTTATATGTCTAGCATGACATAAAAACTTGATATGCATCTAATTAAAATCTATTATATGATTTATATGACTTAACTTATATGATAATCCCTGAAGGATTTAAATTGCTTAAAGCATGTACAATTCTTGGTCCTGAAGTACTACATCCTAAGTGCAATTTGTGCACATATGTATCTTGCTATAACTATAAGCATGATAATGTGATAGCGAGAATACCTCTATAGAGATATTGAAGAGTCATTCCATGATATTTCTGAAGATATTATATATCTATCACGAATGATGATTTCAAGGTGCAAAATATTCATTCAAGTTAATATGGCTGATTTATTTATCAAATCTCTACCAACGATCTTTTGAAAGATGGTGCACGAGATTGGAATGCGAAGGCTCAAGGATGTAAATTGATGCTCTTATCAGGGGGAGTTAATACGCGTTATACTCTTTTTCCCTCACAAGGTTTTGTCCCACTGAGTTTTCCTTGCAAGATTTTTAATGAGGCAACCAAAAGGCGTTTTGTTAGATATGTGTACTCTTTTCCTTCTCTAGAATTTTTTTCCCATTGGATTTTATTTAGTTAAAGTTTTAACGAGACACATTATTTGTTGAATAGACATTCAAGGGAAAGTGTTATAAATAAAATTTTATTTATGGTGAATGTCTATATTTAGAGAGACTCTAGGGTTTATTACTTGGTGGCTAAGTCATCCTCTCCCTATAAATAGAGAGTTCTATTCCATTGTAAATTATCCTAAAATCAATAAGAATTCTCTCTCCCTACTTTTCTCTGCAATACTCTTCTTCTTCTTCTTTTATTGTTTCATAACAGAAACAACAAAGTTAATTATAGAGATGTGATTCACTTTGACAAGCCATTGTATGAACAACGGGGAAGAGCTAAATTAACAAAACAAAAATTTATTTCATTTGATCTCTTAATAAATATATAGAAAACGAAAAAGGAAAAAACTTTTATATTGGCTTTATTTTGGAACTATTTATTTCCTAGTTGTTCACAGCATGGCTTCTCAAAGAGAATCAGATCTCTATAATTAACTTTGGTAATTTTTTTCCAATTTGGCATAAATTAAATAGGTTACAACAAAATTGAACCAGCTTTATATAGATGATTGTAAGAAGAGGTGGACCTATTTCAAAAGAAATCAAGCAATTAGCAAAATACATTTCTACATAAGTGATATACAAATGGAAAACCAATTCCATATTCACCTTTTGGTATCAATTATTTTCTCAATTTTGTTCTCAGTTTTGGGCAATGAAACATCTTTTTCATCCCTTAACTCCACTTATATTAAGCAAGCTAAAGAAAGGTTTATGTCTCTTGATCCAACTAAGCTTCCGGATCCTCCAATGCCGTCCTATACTTTTACTATTTATCATCGAGATGTATTTGAAAAATCGAAGTTCAAGGACTACGACTCATTAATTGAAAGTAGGCTTGCTCGATGTCATGCTAGAGCAAGTTATTTGGCATCAATTTTTGACGATGATGACATTGAAGAAAGGATAGTTCCTTCAAATGACAATCAAATTGGCGCAAATGAAACTCTCACAAGGCAACACGATGTAATGTGGAGCAAGATCGGTCGTGTAAAGGTTCCAAAAACAACAAGTACATACTCCGCGAATGGTGAGTATGTTGCATCATTTTTACTTGGTACTGAAGAAGTAAAAAATTTCTTGCTAATAGATACAGGCAGTGATTTGGTTTGGTGGCAATGTGGACCATGTGCAGCAAATAAGTGTTATAAACAAACTAATCCTTTATATATTCCCACAAATTCGAAAATATTTCGAAAGGTCAATTGCATTCTACATGGTGAAAAATGTTTAGATGGTATGGATCCAACTTATAAATGTACAACTTACACTCATCAGTGTCTCTATGATATGAAATTTACAAGTGGAGAAAGATCAAAAGGTTATATGGCAGATGACGTGATTACTTTTGTTTTAGATCAGAGACAAGTTAGGGTTACGTTTGGATGTGGCACAGATCAAAGAGGTAGAAGAAGTTTCAGTGATGAATATTCTGGAATCGTTGGCCTTGGGCGTAGAATACTCAGTGGCGCAGGATTTTCTTTACCAACACAATTTGGGGCGGACTTAATGTCCATGTGTCTCCCGAGATTTTTTTCAGGAAAGGGATCTACACTTAGCTTCCTTACAACCCCATTTCCAAGAGCAATATCAGCAAAATTATTACCAAATTACAAGTACCCTTTATTTTATTATGTCAACCTTTATAAAGTTTTTATTAATAATAAGGTAGTTCCGGTTAGTCCATCATGGTGGAATTTTAAACGAGGCATGATCGGTGGAGTTCTCGTGGATACAGGAACAAGTATTACTCGCTTTCCTAAAGATTTTTATACTGTATTTCGTTACATATTTAGAGCTGAAGTACGAGATATTCCATTGGCTAAAAGTCCATTCCCATCTTTGGACACTTGCTATAGAGAGGATCCCAATGGTCGTGATCTAGATTTTCCTGTTGTGAAGTTGTACTTTGGTGGCGTAAACCCAAATAACATGTTGTTATTAGCAAAAGAACGAGTTTTTCTGCACTATCGTGGACTCTATTGTCTGGCTTTTATGGGATGGAATAGATCCCGCACTGTATTAGGAAGTAATCAACTCCAGGGTATAGGATTAACTTTTGATACTTCAGAAAATACGTTGTCTTTCGACTTAGATGCATGTGATTGAGGAAAATAAATTTCAAAGTCTTACAATCTAAAGTTGTACCCAATTTTACTACTATTTGACTTCTTCTTTTCTGTTTGCAATTGTTTTCGTGAATCCTGCAAAATGCACATTCCATCTCCAAGTTTTTCAATATACAAATGGATGCTAAAAAATACGCATTCCATCTCCAAAAGAAAAATGGGTACATTCCAGGGCTAAAAAGTTGCGGCTCGAGTACTAATTTGAAGAGTTATTCAGTGGTTTGATGTTTGATTCAATGGTCGAGGGTCTATTCGGAAACAGCCTCTCTATCCCTAGGGTAGGGGTAAGGTCTGCGTATACACTACCCTCCCCAGACCACACTTGTGAGATTATACTAGATTGTTGGTGTTGCTTTGTTGGTGTTTGATTCAATGGTTTATCAGTTTTTGATTTGGTCACGGATTCGAGTTATAGAAATAGTTATTTGCAGAAATGTAGGGTATATAAGGCTGTATCCTTATTGTCTAGCCCTTCCTCAGACACCACACATAGTGGGAGCTTAGTACGGCGGCCAACCCTTTTTACACCATGGATGATGGATGAAGGAAAAGGAACGCGGGAGAGGAGGGAAAATTGACCGACTATATCAAACCGATACAGGTGAAAAGTAGCGTACACTAGGGCGCTTGAAAGAACTACGTCGAAGAGACTCGGGCAATATGACCTCGTAACTTTGGATAGCGGCGCTCTCCTATATTTTGATTAGGAAAGCAAGATATATTTGTGGTAGCACTGTTATTAAAAACATAAAATTTTGCTAAGTGGTAACACGATGTATAGTTCGACACCTGGACAATGCTGGAAGGTCAGATGAAGAAGTGTCATAAGCTTTGAATGGAAGACCCCGCACACGGCGGTAGTAACTTTAACTATCCTAAGATGAAGAAATTTCTTATAGCATAAGTAGTAACCTGCACGAATGGTGTAATAAGTGCCCTGTTGTCTTCTATAAGGACTCCGTGAAATTGTAATCTCCATGAAAATCCTTACCAATGGGTAGACGGCAAGACCTCGTGTACCTTAACTAGTGCTTCGCAGTATATATATATATATACACATACAATGTGAACACATAAGCTACATAAATAAAGTTCCTATATGGAATAGATTACATGAGAATCAATGCTATGTTTGGGAGCGCTTTTCTTGAAAAATTAAGGATTTTCTTTAATTTGACAAAATCAAGAGGTGCAAACTCTGATCCACTTAGTAATTACAGAAATGCAAAAAAAAAAAAAGGAAAACAATTAATATTGGTTTTATTGAGAACTTATCTCTTTCCAAGTTGTTCACACTATGGCTTCTCAAAAAAGAATAAGATCTCCATAATAAACTCTAGTTTTTCTTCCTATTTAAACCAGTATATAGATGATTGTAATTATTAAGAAGTGGTGGGCATGTTTCAAACACAATCAAGCAATTAGCAAAACACCTTTATGTACTAAAGTGCTATGCCAATGGAAAAAATCCTCCATTTTCACCTTTTGATATCAATTATTTTCTCTATTCTATTTGTTGTGTTGGGCAATGCTAAATCTCTTTCACCACTCAACTCCACTTACATTATGCAAGCTAGAAAGAGATTTATGTCTCTTGATTCAACTAAGCTTTCAGATCCCCCAACGCCATCCCATACTTTTACTATTTACCATCGCGATGTATTTGAAAAATCAAACTTTAAAGACTACGAGTCGTTGCTTGAAAGTAGGATTGCCCGATGTCATGCTAGAGCTAGTTATTTAGCTTCTATTTTTGATGATGGTAGCTCTGATGGTAAGCAACCCCCACTTCCAACCGAGAGGTTGTGAGTTCGAGTCTCCCCAAGAGCAAGGTGGGAAGTTCTTGGAGGGAAGGATGTCGGGGGTCTATTTGGAAACATTCTATCTACCTTAGGGTAGGGGTAAGGTCTGCGTACACACTACCCTTCCCAGACCCCACTAAGTGGGATTATACTGGGTTGTTATTGTTGTTGTTGTTGTTGTTGTTGTTTTGATGATGGTAGCGATGTTGTAATGGCAAATGACAACAAGAATGATGCAAATGCAAGTCTCACAAGGCAACAAGATGCACAAGGGGGTAAAATTCGTGAATTGGTCCCAAAATCAACAGATACACACTGCGTACATGGTGAGTATGTTGCATCATTTTTGATAGGTAGCCAATTGATCAAAAATTACTTGCTAATAGACACTGGAAGTGGTTTACTTTGGTGGCAATGTGGACCATGTGAGGCCAATAATTGTTACAAACAGGATCAACCTCTATATAATTTTACTACATCTAGAATTTCTCGAAAAGTTGATTGCATTCGACGTAGTTCATATTGCATAACTGCGGACCCAACTTTTCATTGTGATCGAGATACTTCTGAATGTATCTATAATAAGAAATATACGAATGGATCAGGAACAAAAGGTTTTATGGCAGATGACGTGATTTATTTTGTTGTAGACCAAAGACCAATTCGGTTTACGTTTGGATGTAGCAACGAACAAACTGGTCTTTTTAGTAGTTCCTATTCTGGGATTGTTGGCCTTGGACATAAAGTATTTCCACTAGTAGTTCCTATGGTTGAAAATCCAATTGGACCTTTTGACACTTGCTATAAAGTGGATCCAAATGGCGAGGAACTATATTTCCCAGTTGTAAAGTTGTACTTTGGTAGTGTAAGCCGAAGTACAGAGTTGATTCTGGAACAAGAGCGTGCAATTGTGAAATATCAGGGGTTCTATTGTTTGGCTTTTATTGGATGGCAAGAAAACTACTCAATATTAGGGGTTAATCAACTCCATGGTGTAGGATTAACTTTTGATACTTCAGCAAATACTTTGTCCTTTGACATTAATGCATGCGATTGAGGTATAAATAAAATTTCTTGTGTCTTGCAATCTCAAGGCGTACCCAAATTCACTACAATTACAACTAGCATGTCTTTTTCTTGCTTTCTTAAAATCATGGATTCGTCTCCCGTAAGAATGCGGTTAAAAATCATTTGTAGCAAGTGTCTCCAAATTGAATTTTTTTTCATTCTCCAATTTGATTGATTGATTAAGTTAGTGACAGCAAAACTATCATATATCATAGTAAAATTAATATATATTTCGAAGGAAACCTCCGTCGATATATAGTATTTTTAAAACTATATTGTAAATTCTCTTATTTCTCTTTATTCTAATTCATTGAACAGTAATAACTATTGAAAGATTTCAAAGGACCGTTTAGAATTTCTCCTTCCTTCTGGCATTGAACTGTTTCAACGACATTTGGTAGACTTTCGGTTGATATTATTAATGTTATTTAAATTTATATTTTATATTCATTCGGACTTGCAATTTCCTTTCCGGTATTTTGACATCTTTGCTATTGGTAAGTTCCATTGAAATTTTAGGAGTTTTTATCATAATATCAATAAGTTAATTCAAAATCTCGCGATCAACCTCCTGTGCAGAGGCTAAGCTTACTTGAATTCCTTCAAATTCAAAGGTTATAGGAGTCTCCTTTTCTTAAATTTGTTTTTATGAGGCACAAACATGCTCACTGTCTTAAAGAAACCAGGCTCTTAGTGGAAGTCGAAACCCGTGTTCAAGTAAAGGAGATACTGATTCATTAATGAATTTTTACAGGCAAAATGCCGCTGACAATGTGTTGAATTGGCAGGTTACCTGATGAAGAAGCTGGGAAGGTACCAGCTGCCTGCGTGGTGTTAAACCAAAATGCTAAAGAGAGCGAAGGGGAAATCATGAACTACGTTTCATGTAATGTAGTACACTATAAGAGAGTTAGAGTACTGCAGTGGACACAATTCAAAAATAACCTTAAGGAAAGGGCTTATATAAAATAAAGAGAAATTCAAAACAAGTTAGATGCTCGTGACCCACAACAACTAATAGGGCCAACATTTTAGAACTACTATTTTTATNTTTCATGGAACAACCATAACTGTCAACCATTTCCACCAACTAACTACCTCTATTGACAACCATCATCAATTAGCCACCACGCTAAGGCACTAACTACCATCGCACAACCATTATCTATCATCCATCATCAGTGGCGAAGCCAAAAAATTCCTCAAGGGTGTTCAAACTTGAAAGAAGTAAAAAAAATGTTCTTATAAAGGGTGTTCAATTATCACTATCCAAAACTCAACATGTCATGATGTCGCCTATCATTGTACTAGGAAAGCCAACTACTCAAACATTTTCAACACTTTCGACTTTGAAATATACTAGCACATCTTAAATAATTAAAAATCTCATAAAACGGTTTAGAATATCATAACTCAATACATAAGTTTTCCCAAAAATCGAGGTGTCACTGAGTACATGAGCATCTAATGACATAGTCTAGTACACTATCTAGAAAGTAAAATTGAATAAATAAACTGAAAGATATGGGAAGAGAGTCAAAGTCTGCGGATGCCAAGCAGCTACCTCGATGATCTCTGGATGTCTGAACTCTGTGAATCATCAATCGCCATGACCAAAAACACCCAGATCTGCACACGAGGTGCAGGGTGTAACGTGAATACAATCAACTCAATAATAACAAATCTAATCTTATGAAAGTAGTGACGAGTTTGAGTAATACAGTCCACATACAATATTAATAGTAGGGAAACATACAACAAATATGACAGTGTTATCTTAGAAATTTATAATCTACAAATAAAAGTACAAGAATTTAGATATGCTTTCAGGTTTTGGCAATAAAACTTAACACAAAGCAAGGCATATCCAGCCCAAATGCAAATAAACCAGTGTTGATCCAGCCCAACTGTAAATAATTGCTAGCATTGCGCCCACTGTGGATATGCAGACTCCGGAGGGGTCGATCCAGCCCAAGCACTATAACAAGCCAAATCCTGGTATGAATCAATAAAATCTTCTGCGGTGTGCAACCCGATCCCATGACATCACTCACAATAGACCCTTAACCTCACTTAGTCATTAATCTCTCCAGTATCTCGAGCTCACCAGAATCATAAAAATCAGGCCAAACAATGATAATATGATGTATCAAAGGACAACAGAGACTGAGACATATTATGCAAATAATAGTTGTGATTGAGTACAAATTGACAAATTAAGCAAATAATTCAACATGTAACACGTCCTCTGTGCGTCCCAATAGTACCATCAGGGAGCCTAAGCAAAATTTCTAACATGACAAGCAGCTCAATTGCTTTAACACATGGTAAAAATACAGATAACGACATTATTAATCAACGATACAATTCCATGGAATCAACCAAGTCACAATTCCTATGGTGCACGCCCACACGCCCGTCACCAAGAATGTGAGCCACCTCAACACCAATCATATAACACAAAATTCGGGATTTCATACCCTCAGAACCAAATTTAGAAGTGTTACTTACCTCAAACTGTGCAAATCCCTACTCCGACAAGCCCCCTCCTCGTGAAACGGCTTCCGAATGCCTCGAATCTAGCCACAAACAATTCGATACAATCAACGCGAGCTAAAGGAATCAATTCCATATGAAATTACTAAGTTCTTAATCAAAAGTCAAAAAGTCAACTCAAAAGTCGACCCCTAGGCCCACGTCTCGAAATCTGATAAAAGTCACAAAATCGGAACACCCATTCAACTACGAGTCCATCCATACAAAAATTACTTAAATCCGATACCAAGATCTCGATCAAATCCCCAAAATTCGGCCAAAGAGGTTTCCTCCATTTTCCCCCAATTTCCAACCCAAATCATTAATTAAATGATGATTTCAAAGACATAAACATGAAATTTAACCAAAACTAAGTAATAATCACTTGCCCCAATCACTCCATTGAAAATCTCACTAAGAATTGCCTCTGAGTGAGCTCCCGAAATCAAATTGTGAAATAAACTCAAACCCTCATTTTTGAGATTTAATATTCTGCCCAGAAGTCCTTAATCGCGATCGGGGAAATTGCCTCGCGATCGCGAAGCACAACTCAGCTGCCTGGAAATTCAAGCCTACGTGAACACTTCAGTCCTCACGCACTTGAAGCATTGATTTCCTCAACCTACGCGATCGCATCCCTCTTCACACGATCGCGAAGAACAAATACGTAACCTTAGCTGCTGCATCATATATCCTATGCAAATGCGACCTTAGCCATGCGTTCGCAATTCACTTTATCCAACAGCTACGCGATTGCTACAAAGTCCTCCACAACCCAATTAAACCTACGCGATCGCTGACCTGTCCAAGTGATCATTTATAAGGAAACCAGATCAGAGACACAAGAAAACTTCAGCCAACCTTCAAGTCCAAAATTGATTCGTTAACCATCTGAAACTCACCCGTGGCCGTCGGGACCTTAACCAAACATACCAATAAGTCCGAAAACATCATACGAACTTAGTCTAGCCTTCAAATCACATCAAACAACGCTAAAACCAGGAATTGCGCATCGATTCAAGCCTTATGAATTTTTGAACTTCTAACTTCTATAGTCGATGCCGAAACCTATCAAATCACATTCAATTGGCCCCAAATTTTTCACACAAGTCATAAATAACAAACGGACCTACTATAACTCCCGTAACCCCAATCCGTGCTCGGAAACCACACAGTTGTCACGAGCCAAAACTCAGACCTGGTCGTGATAACGCCTTTCGTGAAGACAAGGCCAGCCGACACAACACCCTTTTTAACCCTTTAATCATTAAGAGTCACTTTTAAGCCTTTAATTACACAAATGTTTCATAATATAAGTCTAAATGAACAGTGCGGAAATAACCTACAAGCCTGACATCGGGGTGTCACTAGTTATGAGTATCTACTACAACTGTCTAACTACATCAAGACCAATATGGTCGGGAAAAGTCACAATTTATACATAAGGAAGAATAAAGAGGGAGAAAGAAAAGCCGCGATCGCAAGGCAGCTACCTTGCTAACTCCGATGAGTGAAAGCAGTAATTAAATCAACATGTTCAATAGAAACTCACTTTAAAGAGGAGTGAAAACAGTAAGTTCATAAACTAGCCCCTCAGGCAAAGCATCACTCATGTACATGTATATATATATATATATATAGCCCCTCGGGCAAGCCTCTCAGTCACTCGTGACTCAACTCTTACAAATCAGCGCTCACACTTAGCACTCACACGCAATAGGTACCATATAGTAACTGCTGCGGCAAACAACCCGATGTAGATATCGCTACGGCGTGCAGCCCGATGCATAAATATAGTCAACTGCGCTCACTGGGGTGTGCACACTCCGGAGGGGCTTCTACAGCCCAATCGCTATATCGCTGCGGCATGCAACCCGNGTATGTATGTATATAGATATATGTATGTATGTATATTGCTGCGGCGTGCAGCCCGATCCATAGATATATAATCCTCACAACTAGGCCCTCGACCTCTCTCAGTCATTAACCTTACAATCAGACCCTTGGTCTATCTCAGTCATCAACCTCACAATCAGACCCTCGGTCTATCTTAGTCATCAACCTCACGATCACTCGGACCATCAGTAAAACAGGGAACTCAGCCCATACAGTTATCACATTGTAAGAAGTAAAGTGATAAAACCAGATTTAAACAATAAACAGGTAAAACATGACTGGGGATATGCTTTCAAAACAAATAGAGTGAGGAAAAATAGTGAAAATGTCCCTAAGGGTCTCAACAGGTTGGCACAAGGCCCCAATCATGGCATACACCCCAAAATATAATATCACTCTCTAAAATATGGAATATCATAAGATTTCAAATCAAATACGCGACTTAACAGTCGTACGAGATGGACCAGGTCACAATCCCCAATGGTGCATGACTCCACACTCATCATCTAGCATGTGCGTCACCTCAAAGTAGTACAACGATGAAAAATCCGCTGTTCA